AGATAGATAGATAGATAGATAGATAGATAGATAGATAGATAGATAGATAGATAGATAGATAGATAGATAGATAGATAGATAGGTAGATAGACAGACAGACAGACAGACAGACAGACAGACACAGGATAAATACATAATAGATGATAGAAATGATGATATACAGTAGATAGATAGACAGACAGACAGACAGACAGACAGACAGACAGGATAAATACATAATAGATGATAGAAATGATGAGATATAGATAGATAGATAGATAGATAGATAGATAGATAGATAGATAGATAGATAGATAGATAGATAGATAGATGATAGATAGATAGATATAACACATTTAAAACATACCGTATACAACGTATGCATAGACCTACACCCTTACATATAAGTAACATAAATATTTTTTTCTTTGGTGTCAGCACCAATCAGTGGGCTGAGCTGCCCGTTTGAGCCGAAGAAAGAGACGGGAACATTTAAAGGCAGTCCTTGACTTAACGACAGTCCATTTAGTGACCTTTTGAAATTGCAACAGGATTGAAAAAAGTCACTGAGGACCGTTTTTCACGCTTAGGACCGTTGCAGCGTCTCCATAGTCACGTGACGCTTGGAAACAGACTTGTAGTTATGACGGTCGCAGCATCCCGGGGTCACGTGATCTCCTTTTGCGACCTTCTGACCAGCAAAGTCAATGGGGGGGGAGCCAGGTTCACCTAACAAGCCGTGTTCCTAACTTAACAACCGCAGGGGTTCCTTTAACAACATTGGCAAGAAATGGGCCAAAAATTCATTTAACGACTGTCTCACAGAGCCGTGGAAATGTGGTCGTAACTTGAGGACTGTGTTCTCTCTTCCTGCAGGATTCATGGGTTATGCTCCCTACCTCAGCCGGCTTGTGGCCGACTGGCAAGGCCGTGACAGTGAGAGCGACCAGCTGTTTTATACCAACGTGTTCCTGGACCCTGAAAAGCGGGTGAGCCCTGACTGCATAGGCCCCACGTGCTCTAGGGGGGAGAGGATTGGGGGCTGACCAGGAAATGCAGCACATATGCAGAGTCTGGCAGGCCCAGAGGGTATACATCAGACCGGGACACGGCTTTGGCCTTGCGTGTCTATGGGGATTCTCAGTCATCCAGGGTCATGGTCATCCCAAAGGTGCTTTTTCACGAGACAAAGAAAAAAAACAGGGAAGTCCAGTTTCCTCCTGAAAAAAAAAAGATCTTTGGGACAACCAAGACCCTGGATGACGGAGAATCTCCATGGACCAGGGGTGTCAAACTCAATTTCACTGAGGGCTGCATCAGCATTGCGGTTGCCCTGAGGGGGGCCGGATGGGTGTGGCCAGAGTGGGTGCAACCTACTGGGTGGGCGTGGATGGAGTGGGTGTGGCCTACTGGATGGGCGTGGCCAGTTCTGCATCATTCGCATCAAGGGTGCCTGTGGGGGGCCTGGGCAGGAGTGGGACAGATCTGAGGGTCTCCGGCACAAGGGGGTGAGACCGGGGCAAGTGCCAAGGCATGGTCCACTGGGGCAAGTGCCAAGATGGCCACCACAAAATTGTACATTGGCTCCCGGCCGGCCAGGGCTTGGGCCAAGGCATCGCGGGCCGTTCCCTCACTGTTTCCAGGACGGCTTCGCGGGCCACATGAAACCATTTCGCGGGCCGCATCCGGCCCCCGGGCCTTGCGTTTGACATGTCTGCCATAGACATTGAGCCATGCACTTTGGGATGAACGCCCTTCGAAGGGTGCGGGAGTGTGAACAGATTTCCAGAAAATATTGCAGACTCCAGGAACAGGGCAGAAAGCATCTTGCAGCCAAGAAGGCTCCATACCCCTTTGCATTACTCAGGTGACCCTGAGGACACAGACAAACCTCCAAGTGGTCTCAACGGCTCTCTACCAGAAGGCAAATGACCAGCGGTCTGCAGGGAGTATAAATCTTTCCATTCCTCACTATCCAGTCAGAGGTGAAGAAGCTTCTTGGATGAGAAGCGAAACATCTTCAGAGAAAAACAAGAAAGTCCAGTTGCCTCCTGAAAAAGCACCTTTGGGTTGGCCTTGCGTGGTTTCCCCCTAATAAATTGAACCATGGAGGACATGGCAGGCCTCTGTGCATGTAAACAATCAGTGGAAGGGCTTGCCTCCAGAGGTTGTGAATGCTCCAACACTGGAGATTTTTAAGAAGAGACTGGACAGCCATTTGTCTGGAATGCTATAGGGTCTCCTCCTTGAGCAGGGGGCTGGACTAGAAGACCTCCAAGGTCCCTTCCAGCTGTGTTATTCTGTTTAAGTGGTTGACAATTGCAGCCATTTTCTTCATGACAGGAGGGGTTTAGCAGGGGAACCACTTTCTCCAAAAGGGTGTCAGCTCTCTGACAGTGAAAATATTCAGGCAGAGAGCAGAGATCCTTTCCAGCTTGGTGATTCTGTGTGTCTGAACTCTTAGCAGGTGCTAGGAATCTGCCTTGGGTTGTCCTAATGTTGATCAACCCTCTCCTTCTCCTTTTGGACACTTTTCTGTCCATCCATAATCAGAAGGAGTCTCCATAGAGCAGGTCCCAGAGATTCTGCCTTTTCATAAAAGGTGTTAGTCAGAAAAGGTGCTATCGGAGTGACTCCTTCTGCTTTTCAGTTTCGGCCCTCTTACATTGACCTCTTCCAGCCCTTATCCATGTTTGCCCTTTTTTTTCCCTCTTCCTCTGCAGAGGACCATCAATATCACTTTGGATCACAGGTGCCGGATCTTCCAAAATCTTAATGGCGCTCTAGGTGAGAATCCGTGGGGAACAAAAGGGTGTTTCCTGCCATCAAAAATAAAATCCTGGCCCTCTTGATTCTCCCACTCTTGCTGGAGAGCTATAAACAAGCTTCATGGGACCTGGGAGTCTCCGAGGCCGTTGACCTCTGCCCAGATCACTTGTTTGGTTTGCCAGGCAGTTCCATTTGGACTCAAAGGACAGCTTTCCTTTAAAAATGGAGCTCGGGCAGCAGATTGTACAAGAAGCAGCAGCTACAAGCTTGTTTTACAGTTGACAGAAAATGTGGGATGACTCTCTCTCCCTTATTCACATCTCCCCTTCCTGATGCTGCATGGATTATTTTATTATCTGCTATTCCTTGCCTAGACTAGGTTTAACTAACATCTTTAGAGACTTTTTTTTGTTGTTTTAGTCAAACTGGGTGGATTGCTCCTAAAATGCACTCCTGTTGCATCAGGTGGGAAAGGCTATATACCTTGGGTTGGAGTGGGTGT